AAAAGGCAAAACAAATAGAAATTCCATGAAGATGGGGATTTTTTTTTTCACTGAAGGTAGAATAATGAACCTTCTCAATGTTTGTCTGTCAAAATTATTGTCTCAAAACAGGAAATACTGAAGACAGAATCCTTAAAAATGGTGGGCTGGGCCTCTTCTCTGCCCTCCTGAAAGATAGACTATAATACAGTATTATGCTATAATACTGTTGGCTTGAAACTCAGACCCCCCAAGGTTGCATGGAACTGAAGGCCTATTCCTTGAATTTGGCAAAGAAAAACACTTTTACTTTTGCAAAGGGGCATCTTTCCCCTCCCAGAAATGCAAATCGCGATGTAATTTAAGCAAAGCATTTATTAGGGGGAGTGAAGTATTTTTATAGTGTAGAAAGTTAGCACCCACCCCTCTCCTAGAAGACTGAAATATTTTGAGAAATATTAAAAAGGCAGACTATTATATTTCCCTGGATGGGAAATGGAGAAACATGCTCTTGGAAGGCAGCTCCCACCTTCCTTTATAGCCCACACCAGGTGTCAGCACTTAAGAGATAAAGAGATAGCTAGCTCTATTCATAAGCAAATATCCTCACCCAAGGAACAAATATCCTCACTCAACAAAGGTAGGATTAGCCCTCAGCCACAATAGGAATTGCCCAAAGTCCCTTCATTGCATCATCTCAGTTGCACCACCCCCAGCAGTTCAAACTTGAACCAAACTTAGCTCAGCCAAACTCCTAGGATTTGTACATGGCCCCATGGGAGTCTGACAACAGCCAATAGAATATATGTTCTTCCACAGGAACAGGAAGTTCAAGTGCAAAGCCCAAGAGAAGGTACAAATACCCCCCACTCTCAACTCCATGTGGTCAGCTGCCCAGCATCACACAAGTTCTGCTTCATCAATAAATGGGCCCTCTTTTCAATCAGCCTCCATTTTGTGTCCAGTGCCTTTGTCCCGGCTTGGAACTGAACCAGATGGATATTTTTTCCAACAAAAGGATACAGAAAAAACAGTGTATGTCAGAAAGCAAATGATCAAACAATAAGGCATAGTATCACATGTGAAACTTGAACAATAGAAAACATTGATTCTAGATAACACTAGATAACCCATGGCCCTGCTGCGTCATCATTTCGGAGATATTTCCTTACCTAAACAGAGGAAAAAATGATCAAGGGCGGGCAAAAAAGTAGTGAGAACAGGAAGTGGCTTCCAACTTTCAGCCAGTTTTCCCACTGAGTTTTCTTGTGGAGATCAGAGAAGGAGCATCAGAAATCTTCCTTCCTTCCCATTCCAGCAGGCAAGTGGTAGTTGCTGGGTGGCAGAAAGAGTGAGGGATTGCAAGACTGGCTGGGAAACTGTCATAGAATGTTGAAAATGAAGATCATGTGACTACAGCAGCAGCCAGTAGCACTGAAGCAGCCATAAATTTCATTTTTGAAAAGTCATGGTGTTGCCTCAAAATTCAGGCACTCTGAGTTTGGTGTGGAGCTGATAAGAACTTGATTGCTGAACTCTGGAGAGGCATTTTTATCTTTGCCCATTTGAAAATACTAACCACCAGGTAATTCAGACGAACAAAGCAAAAAAAAAAATTATTAGAGGGAGTCAAATTTTTTCATAGGGTTCAGAAACAAATGATACATACCTTTGGTATATATGATACATTCGAAAGCGAGAAATCGTAACAATAAAGGACACGGGTTACATGTGAGTCTTTAAAAAGAAAAAGAAAACATTGATTCTAGGTAACATTGCACAAATGGCAAATTTATTGGTTACTTTACTGTTTCCCAAATGGGTTTGTATCTTTCTTAAAACATGTAAGTGTAGTCAAGGACTCTCAGAATACAGACATTCTGTGGATTAGTGCAAAAAAGAAACAGGATCTTACACAAAGAAATGACCTTGGATAAGAAAAAAAATATTTTCCTGGAGTTGGAAAACAGGCTGAGACTGCCGTGGTAAAAATGATATTCTCATCTTTTAAAATGCTAAAATTCCATGTAACAATTGGTCCTGGATTATGGACATATTCTGTAAGTTAGCCAATTTTAGGTACCCAGACTCGGTAACTGTTGCCCTGTAATGCATTATTTTACCAAGTTAAAAGTTATAGTAAGAGTTTTAGTAGCAGCTTTAGTGGCCATTCAAAGTTATGGCAGATTCCCCTAAAGCTACCTTACTATCTGGTTGCAACATTATTATTGCTACAGGGCCCTCAGCATCATTCACCCTTACAACTTGTCCCAAAGGTGCTTTTTCAAGAGGCAACTGGACTTGGTGTTTTTTTTCTTTGAAGACATTTCATTTCTCATCCAAGAAGCTTCTTCATCTCTGACTGGGGAATGATTCAGTCAGAGCTGAAGAAGCTTTTTGGATGGGAAGTGAAACGTCTTCAAAGAAAAAAAACAACAGGTCCAGTTGCCTCTGGAGAAAGCACCTTTGGGACAACTGTGACCTGGAGGACTGAGAAACTCCATATACACCCTTACAACTGATCACAAGGATGCTACGGCACCTCCCCAATATCTCCCCCCACCCAACACCCCGCCATTCTCCTGCTTCCATTCCCACCAGGCGCCACACCCGCCTCCTCACTTTCCTTTTGAAGATCTCTAGAGCTTGGGTTAGGGAAGTAGAATGGATCGTTTCATTGTGCAGCTTCATGGTGTAATCCCTGAAACCAGATGCCATTTTCCAAGTGGCTGCATTGAATTGAGATTGCTTGGGAAATGATGGCTACTACTGGATTTGTGCCAGGCAGCTGTGCAACGAAGCAATCTGTTCTGCTTCCCTAATGCTCTCTGCATAATCATCCGAAAAGCTTTAGACTAGAGATCTTCAAAATGTAGGTGAACAACAGAGGATGGGGATAGTGAGGAGGCCTGAACCCTGCAGGGATCTAGCAGAGGGAAAGCTTGCAGAGGGACCTGGGGAGAGGATGAGGAAGACAGGTCCAAAGGCTAAGGGGCCCCTGAGAGGCAGGAAGCCGACTACAGGTAATCAACTTACAATGGTTCATTTAGTGACTGTTCCAAGTTATAACCCCCTGAACACAAAGTGACTTCTGTTTTTCACACTGCTGCAGCATCCCCAAGGTCACGTGATCAAAATTCAGCCACTTGGCAATTGACTCCTATTTATGACGGTTGCAGTGTCCCAGGGGTCACGTCTTCCCCTTTTGCGACCTTCTGACAAGCAAAGTCATTGGGGAAGCCCGATTCACTTCACAACCGTGTGGCTAACTTAACAACTGCAGTGTGTCACTTAACAAAGGTGGGGAGAAAAGTCGTAAAATGGGGCAAAACTCAACAAATGTTTAATTTAACCACAGAAATGTTGGGCTCAATTGTGGTTGTAAGTCAAGCACCGCCTGTAACAACAACGTGTTGTTGTTGTATGGAGACCCAGGGCCGGCACACCTGGTCTGGCACTGGGCCTCCCATTTGAAGCATCGCATGGTCCGCTTAACAACCCACATTCATTTAACGTCCACATCAGGGAAAGTGGGGGATGGGAGTCATTAAATAAGGGCATCTCACTTAACAGCCATCACTTCTAGCAACCTTAATGGGCATAAGATGAGGACTACCTGTATATTTTTGGCCAAATAAAATCCAAAATCAATATCGTATAAAAGTATAAAGGTAATGGATTATGTCACCCCTTTCCCCAGTCGAGTTTGTTTCTTTCTTAATTACTGCAAATGTACTCAAGACTTCCAGAATATATTCCACTACAGGTAGTCCTTGACTTACGACCACCATTGACACACTCGGATTTTTGTTAAGTGAGACATTTGTTCAGTGCATTTTGCCTCCATTTTACGACCTTTCTCACCAGAGTTGTTAAGTGAATCATTGCAGTTGTTATGTTAATAACCCGGTTGTTAAGTGAATCTGGCTTTCCCCATGGGCTTTGCTTGTCAGAAGATCGCAAAAGGGGATCATGTGACCCTGGGACACTGCAACCGTCATAAGTATGAACCAGTTGCGAAGTGGTTTAATTTTGATCACGTGACCACGGGAATGCTGCAAAGGTTGCAACCGTGAGAAACATAAGTCTCTTTTTTTTCAGTGCCCTTCTAACTTTGAACGGTCACTAAATGAACCATTGTAAGTCAAGGACTGCCTATATTTAGTTTATTAATAGACTAGCTCTACCTATTAATAAAAAGCCTTTATTTAAAAGGGAGAATTGGTTTCCTAATCTTCCAAAGGAGGTGTGGATGCCACGATAAAACGCTAGCGCCTTTATTAAAAGGCTAATAATGAAGCTAAAATTAAAACGAGGAGCCAAAAAAAAAACCCCATTGGCGCCTTTGCGTCCCTCACAGAAATGACAGTTGAACAACCGACGCTGAAGCCCCGCCCCGTTCGACGCAGCTGTTAAAAAAAATAACAGAAGGGTGGGGGTAGGGAAATAAGAGATAAATCTCATTGGCCCAGAACAGAGCTTTGGCGTCACCGTCAGCCAATAAGCATCCCACTGCTTTGAATAACAAAACAACCGAGAGCAGGAATGTCTGGCACGGCAAGGGCCGCTTTTTATCCAATCAGCGCTCCCCCACCGCTGACCAATCAGAGAGCGGGCATTTGGGCGGACTTTTCAAACCGAAGTTAGTTTGGGTTAATCTTGTCCCTTTAAAAGGAGTGATTCGACCAAGTACTGTATTCTTCCGCTTCTCTGGCCTCAGGGGAAGCTTAAAAAAGCCTGACCTCCGCACAGCCTTCCTTGCGGGGGGGAGGGTCATTCAGGAAAAACGCTAATAAATATTCCACCGCAGAAACTTAATGAAAAAAGGTGGCTCCCTTTCTTTCTCTGAACCTTTTATTTCCCTCCCTTTTTTTGAGGGGGGAGGTGGGAGGAAGGAGAGTCCTATCACTGGGATGTAGATCCCTCCGCCTTTAAAAAAAAAAAGAAAGAAAGAAAAGGAGGAAAGGAGAGCAAAACAAAAGCGGCGGGTCACGTGACGGAAAGGGGCGGGGCCTCCGGACCTGGGAGGGCAGACTCCATTTTGAAGCGGCTCCGAGGCGCCTCAGACTGGCTCTCGCTTTCTTTTTTTCTCTGAGCGGCGTCCGGTGCTGAGGGGAAAAAGAGCCATGGTGCAACTCTTTCGCTGACTCCCGGCGGGGAAGACCTGGGACTGGAGGGCGAAGGGGCGTCGTCGGGGGCTGAATGCGGGGCCGCTGGGTCGGTAGCGACGAGGCGCTGCTGCGGCTCTGGTGCTCGTTGCTGCGGCGGGGAGCGGTCGCCTCCCTTCGCTTCAGCCCCCGGTCTGCCTCCTCCGGCCCTTCCGACCTCCGAAGAAGGGGACCCGCCGCCGCGGAGAGGTAAAACCCGACCTACGCTGAGGAAAAACCCACCCGAGGGGGGGCGGGGGCGGGGAGATAAGTAGAGAGACCTCTTCAGAGACAAAAACTATTACTTTATTTGAAAGGACAGGTCCGTATTTCCCCCTCGCTCGCTCCATCGGTAAAAAAAAACACCCCCTCTATTCAAAAATAAACGAGGGGAAGGCAGCCTGTCAATCTCCGAACCCCTGTCAATTTACGGTTGAGGGGGGAAAAGGAAGGGGGTCTCCATCTGCGCATGCGCGCAATCCTCTTTGTCGGGGGAGGCGGGGCTCCTCGAAGGGAGCCCCTTTCTAAATCGGGGGCGGGTCTCGCTGCGGAGATCAGGAAAGCTTTGTTTAATGACGGAGGGGGCATCGGTGGATCCCCCCCTTTTTTAAATAAGAGATCCTTTGAAAATGGTGGGGGGGGTTCTCTCCCCATCCCCTTGTAAGGCAGGGAGTGTATGGAAGCTGGGGAAGATCTGGATGTAGAGTAAACAAACCAACACACACATACACACACGAGAGAGAGGGGGGGGGAGGAAACATCCTGGCCAGTTTATATTGCGGGTAGTTCCTCAACTTACAACAGTTCATGTAGTGACCGTTCAAAGTTACAATGGCACTGAAAAAAAAAAGAGGACCTGGGACCGGTTTTCACACTTCTGATCGTTGCTGCATTCGCATGGTCAAAATTCAGGACACTTGGCCACTGACTCACGTTTATGACGGTTGCAGTGTCCCGGGGTCACATGATCCCCTTTTGAGACCACCTGAGACAAGCAGAGTCAACGGGGAAGCCAGATTCACTTAACAGCGGCAATGATTCGCTTAACAACTCTGTGGCAAGAAAGGTTGTAAACTGGGGCAAAATCCAAACCCAATGTCTCACTTAACAACAGAAATGTCAGGCTCCATTATGGTCATAAGTCGAGGACTACCTGTATATGGAAGCTGGGATGACCTGGGGACGTGAAAAAACCAAATCTCTCTTCTCCCCCCCCCCCCCCCCCCCCCCAAAAAAAAAGGAAGAGGAAACATCCTGGCCAGTTTGCATTGTAGGTAGTCCTCAACTTACAACAGTTCATTCAGTGACAACAGCACTGAAAAAAGGGACTTATGGCTTTTTTTCAACTTACAACCGTTCCAGCAACCCCTCGGTTACATGATCAAAATTCAGACGGCTGTAGGGTCCTGAGTTCATGTGATCACCTTTTGTGGCCTTTTGACAAGCAAAGTCGATGGGGAAGCCAGGTTCGCTTAACCGCTGTGTTACTAACTTCACTGAACAACTGTGCCAAGAAAGGTTGTAAAATGAAGCAAGCTCATTTAACAAATGTTTCCACTTAGCAACAGAAATTTTGCGCTCAGTTGTCGTAAGTTGAGGACTACTTGTACTAACTGTGCCTCCATCCTACCCCCCCCCTCCCCCATGGCTCTTAAAATGTCAATTTAAAATTCTTAAATTTGTTTTTGAAGGCCTGTTACTGCCTACCATTACCATTTAAAAGAATAAGCTGCTTTTCTCAATTTGGTGTTCTTTGGGATGTAAATTGACCATCCTTGTCCAGCTTGGTAATTGGTTGTCTGGTTAGATAAGGTGGGGGCATTGTCTGATGGGTGTGAGAAGGGTGAACTAGGGAGCCAGACTGCCAGATGGCTCTTGGGTTATTGTTTTACCACCGTAAGGGGGAGGGACTTGTAATCTGAATTTTACATTGATTTTGGGTGGCAGGGAAGGGGAGACATTAGAAGCAATGAGACTGTCCTGGAGAGAATCCAAGGTAAGAAAGAGAGAGAGAAAAAAAAAAAAACTATGACAGAGGCTTATTTGTGTATATAATTAGGATGAGTTGAATTGGTGTGAACACAATAACATGGATAAATAAACATTTTGGGAGCTCTTTCATAGTTTTCCAGTTCTTAAAATGGAGATTGGAAGACTGGTTGGGAAGGATTTAGGGATGAGAGTCCTAAAATGAGAGAAAGGAAAAGAAAATGTAAACAGGTTATGATTGGTCACTTGGGGTAACTAGAATTAAAGTCGAAGTATTTATTGAAAAGAGTATTAGATTGTTCTGGCAGCATTGATACAAAGGAAGTATGTTTTGGTATTTCAAAGGGGGAAAGCAAAGTCAAAAAAAACATTCTGTATTTAGAAATTGTAAAGGTATTGAGTTAAGGATCATTGTTGTGTATAATATGATCAGCTGTGTAGATAGCATATATGTGGAATCCACTATGCTTTGAGTTAAAATCCTTTTATGTCCTGTTCCTGAGGGCAGAGATGAGAGTTAAGGCCTCAAAGAAAAAAAGAATTGTAGGCCATTCTTTCTGTTTATACAAAAACTCTGCTCAAGGTTGTTGTTAGGACACAATGGAAACAAACTGCATTTATAATTCCAACTAAAAATTGTGTTTACCTTTGAGTGTGAGAAAGACCGATCAAGACACCACAGGAAATGTTTTAGACTATTTGTCCTATATCTTAATAAAAGTCAGGTGGGTAGAATTTGAAATATGTGGACCCTTAAACCTGAGGAGAGGCTGTTAAAATGCTAACCAGAGGCAATGCCTAAACTGAGCTTTCTTTATTTGGTGTGTAAATAAGTGAACAAGAACTGGGAAATCTCTGTGTTCTTTTGCCGCCCTCTACAGTTACTTGGAAGTTATTGTCATGGTGTGTACGTGACAAAGCCCTCCTATGCTTCCCCCTCCCTCAACACCCTCTTTGTTAACTCTGCTGTGAACAGGGGGGGAAATAAAAGCTTTTCCTAGTCCTTTAAGCAAGAGGGAACATTCGGTTTTGTGCCTTACCCTTTTCTCTTCTTTCCCCATTGGATGGTTTTATTACTCAAAAAACGTAGTTGGACAGATGGGATGATTGGAGAAATGATTAAATCAGGATGTTAAAGGAATACCCCTGTCTTTTACTGTCTGGATCCCTTGGGGTAAGAATTCTAGTAACTTTAAAATCATATATCTATCATTGGCATTTAGCATGGCAGTTCTAGGGTTTCTGTGGTTCGGTGCTCTAAAATAAGTCTTGTCAAGGCAAAAGCAGACTTCCAACCAACATGGAGATACATTTGATTGATTTTTCGCATTTGTAACACCTCCTGATTCCACAATGACTTTGGGAGGCACCACAGATGGACCAAAAAAGACATTGCTGTAGCCCACCTCAGGAAAACCAGTAATGTTGGTTGTATATTTAGTGCCTGCCACCCTGAAAACTTATTTTCTTTTTTCTTTAGATGAAGAACATTGAAGCTGAAGAACAGATGAGCAGCTGGCTCTTCAAACAGCTTAAACTCCATTTGGATCAGGAATGGAAATACCAGCCTAGGGAAAAAGGGCTGAGTCTCATTGAGTGCACTACTGAGGTGAGAAGATAGAAGTTTGCTTTTTGGATGTGATAGCAATAACACCTAGATGTATATACCACTTTACAGTGTTTTACAGCCCTCTCTAAGTGGTTTACAGAGTCATCATGTTGCCCCCCCAACAATCTGTGTCCTCATTTTACCTACCTCGCAAAGGATGGAAGGCTGAGCCAACTTTAAGCTGGTCAGGATTGAACTGCCAAACTGTTGGCAGACAGTGATTAGCAGAAGTAGCCTGCAGTACTGCATTCTAACCACTGTGCCACCGCAGCTCATGATGATGATGAACCTCAACTGATATGACTTATTTCTGGAGGAAGTGGCTAGAAGTATGGGAAGGATCTTAATGCAGCTGAGCAGGAAGCTGTCAATGTTAATTTGTTTGGAGCAGTTTGCTTGCTTTGTATAAAATAGATCTATTCAAATGTACTAATTCATCATAATAAACTATAGCTTATTCAACTAGTATAAATGCTGGATATTGGCTTCCTGCCTTTTACAATAGATATTTAAGCAGATTGTTACCATTGATTTTTAACGCCGTTGGAGCACTGCTTCCCAACAGTTTTACTGAAAAACTGGCAGTGATCAGACTGTATATAGCTGAAATTTGTCAGGTGTTTCTTTGCTTGGTTCAGAGATAGTTGTGGATAATGATTCTTTGTTTGAGAGAATGGTACCTGCCAAATTAAAAATGGGCATCGCCCTTCACAAGACTAGCCAAGTTATTGAATGAAGCAACCCTTGTTTCTGAAAGAAGGAATGATAGGTTCTTCCCAGAAATCTACTTTGAAGAGGAAATTTACAGTTACAGAGTAGTCCTTGATTTATAACTGTTTAGCGACCATTCAGAGTTGCAACGGCACTGAAAAAAGTGACTTAGGATTCGCACTTATAACCGTTGCAGCATCCCCATGGTCACATGATCAAAGTTTGGACACTTGGCAACTGGCATGTCTTTATGATTGTTCTGGGGTCACGTGATCACCATTTGTAACCTTCCCAGCCAACTTCCAACAAGCAGACTCAATGGGAGAAGCCAGATTTGCTTAACGACTACATGGTTCACTTAACAACTGCAGCAATTTGCTTAACTGTGGAAAAGGTCATAAAACGGGGTACAACTCACTTAACAACTTAGCAATGGAAATTTGGCGGTCAATTGCGATCATAAATCAAGAACTACCTGTATTGAGGTAGGATTGGTTCTGACCCCTTGCCATCTTAGTTATGTGTCTCTATTCCTCCTGTCAAGTAATTGGCCGTTGCTGGTTCATCAGAATATATAGATCGTCCAATGAAAACCTTTTCTGCCACTAGCCTTAAGATGCTGCTTGTCTTGTTACAGAATGAAAACACCTTATGCCCAAGACTGAGGAATGCAAAAGTGGAAGATCTCTGGAGTTTGGTCAACTTCTTTGGATTTGCCACAGAAACTTTTGTCCTGGCTGTCAACATTCTTGACAGGTTTTTGGCACTCATGAAGGTATTTGGAAGAAAGGAAATGCTGCGTCATAGTTTGCACAGTTTTACATTAAGTAGACAGATAAGCAGCCTTTACTATTTGTTCTGGACTTAACTTATCTAGTTCATCTCTAAGCAAGTAGACTAATATATTAAGAACATGTTATAAAAAGTTATAAAAAGTGTGTCATCTTTAAAATGTATTTTTGTATCTTTTCTCTGTCTCTTAATTTTTCTTCAATCTGAACCTCAATTGTATGCCATTTTTTTATAGTGCCAATTATATATGTAAGGCCACATGAACATTGGCTGAAATTCTGGGAAATATCTGTTATTAGTGGATTGTTGAGTGGATTTAAGAGTATCGCAGGCTTTGTCATGTAATATGTTATCACTCTGAGAAGTAAAATTGAAACAGCCTTGTGGACTGTGAAATAAATGGACTTGCAACATTTTAAAAATTCAATATTGTTGAGGGGCTGCTTATTCATAATAAGGTGGTTGTTTTCCTCTGACTTAGGTGAAACCTAAGCATTTATCCTGCATTGGAGTCTGTTGTTTCCAGCTGGCTGCTCAACAGGTCGAGGAGGAAGGCAACATCCCATCTCTGCATGATGTCATCCGGATTAGCCAATGCAAATGCACCGTTTCTGATCTAAAGCGGATGGAAAAAATAATATCAGAAAAACTGCACTTTGACTTCAAAGCAACTACTGCCTTAACTTTTTTGCACTTATACCATACTATTGTACTCTGCCATACCTCAGAAAGGTACCGTTGGCTCAGTTCATTTCTACCTTCATTTCCACCTTTTTAAAAAAATATTGAAACATGCAGTACAGATAGTCCTTGATTTATGACTGTAATTGAGCTGAAATTTCCATCATAAGCTGTGATGGTCAGCGCTGAGCTTGTAATTGGGCCCAATCTTACAAACACTTGCAGCAGTCATTAAGCATGGTCATGAAGAGAACGTTGCAGTTGTTAAGTAAACATATTGTTCGCTATGGAGTGGTTTTAGCCAGATGTAAATGCCAGTTTCCAGGAAAATGTTGTGGTTTGTGGTCACGTGACCTTGGAGTGCTACAAACTGTTGTAAATGCAGGCCTGTTGCTGAACTCCCAGAACACAGTCACGTGACGGATGGGGAGGCTGGCTTTAGAACTTTGAATCTGCCATTTTCAGGGTCTGTTGTAACTTAGTCACTAAGTGACTGGTTGTAAGTTGAGGACTACTTATATCCCTGTTAACACTCTGATTTATTTCTTTCCAATCTTTTGCTGTAGTTCAGATCAGTGGTAGGATTCAAATTTTTTTACTACTGGTTCGGTGGGCGTGGCTTGGTGGGCGTGGCAGGGGAAGGATATTGAAAAATCCCCCTTCCCTTCCCTCCCCACCCCACTAACCTGCTTTCCAGCTCCGTTCTCCTGTGCAGGGCAACCAAAGAAGACCCAGCCAATCAGCTGGGACTCAATGGGAGGCAGAGAATAGATGGGGTTCGCGGGGCCAGTCAGAGGTGGAATTTGCCAGTTCTCCAAACTACTCAAAATTTTGGCTACTGGTTCTCCAGAACTGGTCAGAACCTGCTGAATACTACCTCTGGTTCAGATACTTTCTGAACTACAGAAAGTTTCTGTATGGTTAATGAGATAAATCAAGATGGTTGTATCTAGGCATCTTGTTATGTTTTATTTGGACAACAACTATGCATTTTCAGATTTTAGATGTACACATTGTACTAAGACATAATTTGGTTTAGTAGTTTCTGCTTTAATGAGTTATGCAAAGCTCATTCACAATGTAACGTGCATGTGCATCCAGCAGTAACATTTTGCTATTGTGACCCTTTGCAGGAAAGAGCTGTTGAATCTCGACAAACTGGAAGCACAACTTAAAGCTTGCAACTGCCGACTTGTCTTTTCAAAAGCGAAAGTGAGTTTGAAATAAACCATTCACAATATGACAGTTGAGGGTCAGTGACTAAATTTCTGAGCCCAGTGTGTCTTTTTGTCCCTTCAGCCATCCATTTTGGCCCTGTGCCTTCTCTCTCTGGAAGTGCAGACTCTGAAATCCATTGATTTGTTTGAGATTCTTCTGTGTGTTCAGAAGCAATCCAAGGTAAGAGAGTAGCTTTCATTAACCCTTGCTCCAGCCATCCAGTGTACATCTTTTTTTTTTGGGGGGGGGGGGGGGGAATATAATAGAGTTGATTCAAAAATAATGTTTATTTTTAAAACTATAGAGGAAAATGCCCCTCCCATTTTGAAGGTGGGTTGTTTGGAAAGAAATTGCATCTTCCTGCAGTATAAATAATTCCTGACCTATTTATAGAAGATAGACTTTTTCTCATTCACCTTGGGAGAGTGACGTTCTCTTACGCTAAAAGTTGCATCGTATCACATGGATGTAATTTCCTCAACACATCATTCAGACTGCATTTCCACTCAGTCTCATATGTACAGGTAGTCCTCAACTTAGCGACCACCGTTGAGCCCAAAATCTCTGTTGCTAAACAAGACATTTGTTAAGTGAGTTTTTTGCCCCATTTTATGACTTTTCTTGCCATGGGGGTTAAGTGAATCTCTGCAGTTAAGTTGGTGACACGGTTGTTAAGTGAATCTGGCTTCTCTATTTGCTGGTCAGAAGGTTGCAAAAAGGTGACCCCGGGACTCTGCAATTATCATGAATATGAGTCAGTTGCCCAGCCTCCGAATTTTGATAATGTCACCATGGGGATGCTGCAATGGATGTATGTGTGGAAAAACAGTCATAAGTCACTTTTTTTCAGTGCCGTTGTGACTTTGAACAGTCACTGTTGTAAGTTGAGGACTACCTGTACGTGGGCTCTGTCAAAGCCAGGAAATTTTCTTTGGACAAATGTGATCTGAGTTCATAGAATCATCCAGTTGGAAGGGACCTTGGAAGTCTTCTAACTCAAGGCCCTGCCCAAGACAGGAGTCCTTATAGCACCCTAGACAAACGGTTGTCCAATCTTGAAAACATCTTGAAAACATCCAGCAATGGTAGCACCCGCGGTTGATTTATAGGCTGAGCTGTATAGATCGATGTCGGGTGTGTACAGGTGGGTTTACAATCAAGTTAATGTGGATAGAATGGCAGCCGTAGTTGATTGGTGAAAGAACTTCTTTTTTTAAAAAAGTAATCATATGTGAACCCCCTTTTTTCCCCAGATAAGTGACAGTGACTTGCTGTATTGGAGAGAGCTGGTCTCAAAATGCTTAGCAGATTATGCTTCCCCCGCCTGTTGCAAGCCAGATCATAAAAAACTAGTCTGGATTGTTTCAAGACGCACTGCCCAAAATCTTCAAAACAGCTACTATAGTGTTCCTGAGTTGCCCACAATCCCAGAGGCCGGATGCTTTGACGAAAGCGAGAGGTAGGTAAACACTCTTGGGCTTTTCTTTGTTATTGGCCCAACTGTATGTAGTCGGTTCAAGCAACTAATTGCTTAATTTTTAACTGATGTTAAAACTTTAACTTAATTAACTAATTAATTGTTTTCAATAGTGTAAATGCCTGAAGGACAGATAGAGGGCCCTTCAACTAGCATTTCCTGTGCTGGCATTTGGAAAAATAAAGTGACATGTATTTAAGAGTAAAGGATATATTTGTCACCTCTCGGTTTTGATGGTTTTGTATGTGTTTCTGTGGCATTGATGGAGAGACCCATGACTCAGTGTTAGAACTCACTAAATCACATTGAGAAAGTCCTCACTTGGAAAAATAAGTAAGGGGCATTTTTGGTAACTGTTATTGGTCAGAATAAACCAACTTTCCTCCATTTGATTCCTCTTAGACGAGTTGGATTACATCTGCCTTGCTGGAGAAGATGGGGTGTATATTTAGAGAGGGCCTAGTAGAGTAAACTAGAACAAATCGTTCTACTTTGAGAAGCTTTTGATTCTCATTGGAATAGAATGGCTTTTCCATCCTCCTCTGTTTTAAACAAACTTCTCAGATTGTTTAATGCTGCGTATATACTTAAGACTCATGTTTGCATGGAGATATAGCTAATTCTGAGTTGATTTTTTCCAAGACCACAGCAATCAGTTCTTCCATGGATCATTGGTTATCAAGCTATCTTTTACACACACACACACACACACACACACACACACACACACACACACACTTTAAAATAAGATAGCATGCAGACTGGCAGAGGGGGAGCTGATTTCTCTTGTTATCCAGTTAAGTCATTTTTCTGAGATTGCTTTTTGTCAATGGTAATGAGATGAGTAGTTAGGTACACAATTGAGCTAATGAGACTGAAGATCTCGATGGGATAATTATCAGCACTGCTGAATTTGCACTTTCCTACAACAGTAGAATGTTGCCAGCTGCCTAGAGTCTAATGGAGTGGACAGCCATCATTTCATTTACCATATTTTTTGCACTGTAAGACGCTCCAGAGTCCAGGCCATAAGACCCACCTAGCTTTTGGGGAGGAAAACAAGAAAAAAAAATCTGCCTTTGCCTCCTTATAGCAAACAGCCTGGTCAGCTTCAGCACAGTCTGATTTAGCATGAGCAGCTGATTGGCAGTTGGATCGGCCTCCCAGAATACTGCCAATCAGCTGTTCCAGGCTGTGGGGATTGCCGCCGCCCATCACCACCTCCACGTGACCTATTTGTGGCCTCTGTGCAGGCTCATTTTTGCCTGTTCCAAGTGGTGGGGATCGCGATCATCGCCAATCCCTGCCGGTTGGAATGGGCTGAAAATGGGACATGCGGAGGCCGAACATGAGGTGCAAGGAGGTGGCGATGGGTGGCAGCGATCCCCGCAGTCTGGAACAGCTGATCAGTGGTATTCTGAGAGGCCGATCCAGCTGCCAATCAGCTGATCGTGCTAAATCAGGTTCTGCTGAAGCTGACCAGGCTGTTTGCTGCTGGGAGGCAGAGGCCGAAGGGTGGGAGCTGGTGGGTGGGCGGGGCTTTGGCCACATTCGTGCTCTAAGACGCACAGACATTTCCACCCACTTTTTGTAGGGTGGGGGAGAAGTGCGCCTTATAGTGTGAAAAATACGGTATGCTACCTGGTATTTCAAAGCTTCATATTTCAAATCTTACATTAAGTCTCCCTTGCATTGTGCAGATGATTACAACATGAATTTGCCCATGTTGTTTTCTAGACAAAGCATGGAAAACATTTGCACTTATCTTCTTCCATGATTTTGCTCTTGCTTGTCTGCCTGTCTATCTGCATAATTTCAAAAGATGACTAGGGCTGGTACATTTGAAAGTGCACCTAATTTTTGATACAAGCTGTTGCCTAGATGCTTATCTCCTATATACAATGAACTCTCACAATTCCTTATAAAACAGCACTTCACAACTTTGCTTTATCATACAGTGGATTTTATCAAAGGCTTTTCCAGACAAAACTCAACATTACTCTTTTATCTGCTAAGATACCATCTGAAGAGTTGTTTAGCAATAACTAATTTGGTAGCTGCCATAGATGTAGAAACTTTACTAAGTTTCTACATCTATGGCAACTACCATAGTTTTATTTAAAATTTGCAATTTTAAGTTTTGGGCCATCAAATATATGGAATGAATCCAATTCAAGAAACTTATTATGTTCCCGCCAAAGGTGAAAATGTTTCTTGAGTTTACAGAGTTTAAAATGTTAAAGAGACCTCCCTGAGAGTCTTATGAAAGGTTGATGCCATCAATGTATGTAGTCTCTAAGTGTTTAATTACATACTGATTATCAGAACTGTTCTCACTTTTGCACATAAAATCCTGAAGCTTCCAAAGCCAATTCCTCGCTGATTCAAATGCAATATATATGTTTAGGTTTAGACTTTGCTAGAAAATTGAGCATATGTAATAAAAATATTTTGGTAAGGAAGAAGGTGCAGTAACTTGGCTGTCTCAGAATATGTTATGAATGTAGGTAGTCCTCAACTTATGATCACAATTGACCCCCAAATTTTTGTTGCCAAGTGAGACATTTGTTAAGTGAGTTTTGCCCCATCTTACGACCTTTCTTGCCGCAGTTATTCAGTGTTAAACACGTTGATAAACAAGTAACACGGTTGTTAAGTGAATCAGGCTTCCCCATTGATTTGGCTTGTTCACATGACCCCGGGATACTGCAAACCGTCGTAAATGTGAGTCAGTGGTCCAGCATCCCAATGTTAATCATGTGACCATGAGGCAGTGGTCATAAATGTGAAAAATGGACATGTCACTTTTTTCAGTGCTGTTGTAACCAAAAATGAACTGCTCTTAAGTCAACCACTGCCTGTACCGCACTCTTTTTTTTTTTTTAACCTTTCTTCGCAATTGCTAATCACTTCCCCATTTTCTTTCGCAGTGAGGACTCTTGTGAAGACATGAGCTGTGGAGAAGAAAGCCTCAGCAGCTCGCCTTCGAGTGACGGAGAAGGCACCTTCTTTTTTGACCTCAAACCAAAATCCAAGTGGCAAGCTCTTTCCTTCGATTCCGTGTGCTAGTCTGAGCTCTTAAACACGTCGTAGTATTTTTAGGCAATAAGAATCTGAACCAGCCCTCATCCCAACTAGGGGTGCCTTCTAAGGGTTGGCTTCCACTCCCAGAATCACCAGCCCACCAACCACAGTGGTTGCTGAGAATTCTGGGGGTTGAAATCAACGCCGCCGGAATGCGCTCCGGTTGGGGAGGGAAAAGCTGATCTTAGCATTCCTTGTACTTTTGGTACAAGATCTCATGGAGTATTCAAAATACAATATTGTGGCTTTTTTTTAAAACCTTTGTATGATGGTAAGTCTGATGTGGCATGAAGGATCAAATGAACCATTTCAAACCTTTGTTTGGCGAGAAACGAGCACAGGGGCACAGATTTGCCACCCAGATCACAAGAGGGAGAGCTTCACAGTTTGCCATGGGCTGGAATTCTCTGTTGAAAAATAGGTTGAATCTGCAAATCTGCAGTGGCAGATTTGGTGGATAGACGAAATTGCAGAGACGTAGATGAAGTTCTTTTCTGAAAAAGATTCTAAATACTTTTTTTTTTTGTTACGTATTCTTTTAAAGAAAGTTATCTGGAGAAATACTGTAGTTTGGTTTCAGTAGACTTGTTTTAATCACAAATGCTGTTTTTCTTTGGGGAAAAGTAAATAAGCTGCTTTGTTTTTAAAAAAAACGCAAAACCAATCCACACCGATGTGCTGAAGCATATTTTAGTGTTAAGTTTTCTAAAGATGAGTTTTCAAATCCTCAAATTAGGAAATGAAATGTTTTTAGAAACCCTTAGTGTTACCGTTAAAAAAAAAAAAACCCCATACTATTAAAATTTAGAAAGTACTGGATTTCAGTGTAAAGTCCATTGTCCCTCTCATTAGCTTATTTCAGTATTTCTTTTACCTTGTTATTAAGTAAATCTATAATCATTATTTTGCATGCTTAAGTGGAAATGGTTAGTGGAAAGGCAGTTGATTATGGAGAAGTTTTGATAAATGTGAAGTTGATAAAATGGTTGTCATTACATTTAATTGCTTGCCTTTCTTTCTCTCCCCCCCCCCTCTTTAAAGCACAGACTTTACGGTTGCTTCACTTTAGTTCCTTCAAATATATGCAAAGTAAGCAAAAGGAGTCATTTAGTCTGTATTAATAATGTGAAGGCAATGCTGTGGTTGAAATGAAGTGGCAATAAAGTTAGGATCCTTGCTTTGTGTGTTTTTCTCATGTAGGCAGAGGTGAATGTTTGATAATGTGTGGTGTGATCTGATTTTTATAAAGAAAAAAAACCCGTTTACAAAAAAGTGTAAAAAATGTAAATTAAAACCTGTAAAAAAAAAAACTTAAAAAACAAAATAAGTTGAAAAATATTGTATTTTTTACAGTGTGCGTTCCTTTCTATATGTTGCATGTAGATATTAATTTATTATACCTTGTATATGATATAAATAATGTATATGGAAGGTGGGGGGGGGGTTGGTACTACCAGATTGTGTCAGAATGTGTTTTTTTTAAAGCTATTTTTGCTCAAAAATAACTCAAAGATTATCTCTTCTGCTTCTGTTCAATAAAACCAAATGCTTTTCTTTTCCTATCTGAGTCTGTCGTGATTTTGGTATAACAGGACAAAATCAGAAACCAGAACACGTTTTTAAGAAAGTGGTCACTTCTAACTAATGGAACCTTAATTGTGACGAGGATGCCATTTTCTAAAGTAAAGATAAAATTACAAGAAAATTGTGATGTACTCATCCTCGATTTCTTGGACACATTTTCAATACCATCCTTGATCATTTCCTGCAGGACATATAACCAGACCGGATGCATTTTTAAAAAAAATGAAGTGAAGAAGGGTGATTACAGGCCAAATTTCAGGCCAGATAGCCAATCAAATCCATGTCCTAACTTGGCTAACATATACACTGCTCAAAAAAATAAAGGGAACACTTAAACAACACAATGTAACTCCAAGTCAATCACACTTCTGTGAAATCAAACTGTCCACTTAGGTAGCAACACTGATTGACAATCAATTTCACATGCTGTTGTGCAAATGGAAGAGACAACAGGTGGAAAGCATAGGCAGTTAGCAAGACATCCCCAATAAAGGAGTGGTTCTGCAGGTGGTGACCACAGACCACTTCTCAGTTCTATGCTTTCTGGCTGATGGTTTGGTCACGTTTGAATGCTGGCGGTGCTTTCACTCTAGTGGTAGCATGAGACACATAAGTGGCTCAGGTAGTGCAGCTCATCCAGGATGGCACATCAATGCGAGCTGTGGCAAGAAGGTTTGCTGTGTCTGTCAGCGTGGTGTCCAGAGCATGGAGGCACTACCAGGAGACAGGCCAGTACATCAGGAGATGAGGAGGCCGTAGGAGGGCAACAACCCAGCATCAGGACCGCTACCTCCGCCTTTGTGCAAGGAGGGACAGGAGGAGCACTGCCAGAGCCCTGCAAAATGATCTCCAACAGGCCACAAATGTGCATGTGGCTGCTCAAATGGTCAGAAATAGACTCCATGAGGGTGGTATGAGGGCCCGAAATCCACAGGTGGGGGTTGTGCTTACAGCCCAACACCGTGCAGGACGTTTGGCATTTGCCAGAGAACACCAAGATTGGCAAATTCGCCACTGGCGTCCTGTGCTCTTCACAGATGAAAGCAGGTTCACACTGAGCACATGTGACAGACGTGACAGGCTCTGGAGACGCCGTGGAGAACGTTCTGCTGCCTGCAACATCCTCCAACATGACCAGTTTGGCAGTGGGTCAGTAATGGTGTGGGGTGGCATTTCTTTAGGGGGCCGCACAGCCCTCCATGTGCTCGCCAGAGGTAGCCTGACTGCCATTAGGTACCAAGATGAGATCCTCAGACCCCTTTAGAGACCACATGCTGGTGCGGTTGGCCCTGGGTTCCTCCTAATGCAAGACAATGCTAGACCTCATGTGGCTAGAGTGTGTCAGCAGTTCCTGCAAGATGAAGGCATTGATGCTATGGACTGGCCCGCCCGTTCCCCAGACCTGAATCCAATTGAGCACATCTGGGACATCATGTCTCGCTCCCTCCACCAACGCCACGTTGCACCACAGACTGTCCAGGAGTTGGGGGATGCTTTAGTCCAGGTGTGGGAGGAGATCCCTCAGGAGACCATCCGCCACCTCATCAGGAGCATGCCCAGGCGTTGTAGGGAGGTCATACAGGCACGTGGAGGCCACACACACTACTGAGACTCATTTTGACTTGTTTTCAGGACATTACACCAAAGCTGGATCAGCCTGTAGTGTTTTTTTCCACTTTAATTTTGAGTTTTAACTCCAATTCCAGACCTCCATGGGTTGCTAAATTTGATTTCCGTTGATAATTTTTGTGTGATTTTGTTGTCAGCACATTCAACTATGTAATGAACGGAGTATTTAATAAGAATATTTCATTCATTCAGATCTAGGATGTCTTATTTTGGTGTTCCCTTTATTTTTTCGAGCAGTGTATGTATACAGGTAGCCCTTACAACCACAATTGAGCCCAAAATTTTTCTTGCTAAGCGAGTCAGTTCTTAAGTTTTGCCCCATTTTTCAACCTTTCTTGCCATAGTTATTAAGCGAATTGTTACTAAGGTAGTAACATGGTTGTTAAGTGAATCTGGCTTCCCCATCGACTGCTTGTCAGAAGGTCGCAAAAGGGGAGCACATCAGAAGTGGGATGCTACCGGTTCTGCCTGGTTCTATACAACTAGTAGTTCTGAAGAGCAGCAGACATCGAACCGGTTCCGTGTTTGCTGCTGTTTGGCCCACCTGCCCACCTGGGCTCTTACCTGTCCTTTATTTCCTGCTTTTTCAACCTCAGCTGCTTTTGCGTGGCACAGCTGAGGTTGAAAAAGCAGGAAAAAAAGAGGCTTTTCAAACGCTGCGCACCCAAGTGCAGCACTTATCAGCTGTCCGGCCGGCACAGCTAAAGGTTTTTTTACACACGCGCGCAGCGTGCAAAATGTCACTGAACCGGTAGTAACACCGGTTGGATCCCACCACTGGAGCACATGACACTGCAAGCGTCTTAAATACTAGCCAGTTGCCAAGCATCTGAATTTCGAGCATAGGATTGTAGGGAATGACTGGAAATTCTCAGTCATCCAGGCCATGGTTGACCCAAAGGTGCTTTTCCTTCCCCAGGAGGCAACTGGATTTACTCGCTTTTTCTTTTGAGGAGGTTTCACTTCTCATCCAAGAAGCTTCTTCAGCTCTGACTGGATTAGTGGGGGATGGAAGGATCTAGTCATAGCTGAAGAAGCTTCTTGGATGAGAAGTGAAACGTCTTCAAAAGAAAAAGCAAGTAAATCCAGTTGCCTCCTGGGGGGAAAAAAAAAGCACCTTTGGGATAAACTCCAGAAGCCAGTAAAAAATGCTAAAAATTGTGATCATAATCGTATTTTGGGTGTTTGGCAACCGTCTCACATTCGCTGTGGGATGATGTGAGCCCTGGGGTAAGGTGGGAGGATGCATCCGCCAGAACTACAAAAACGAGTTGTAAGTAACTCTGGGAAGTTATAACTTTGAACAGTCGCTAAACAACTGGTTATGAAGGCTCTGGAGATTCTCAGTCCTCCAGGTCATGTTTGTCTCAAAGGGGCTTTTTCAAGAGGCAACTGGATTTCCTTGTTTTTCTTTGACGACGTTTCGCTTCTCATCCAAGAAGCTCTGATTGACTCATTCCCCACCAATCCAGTCAGAGCTGAAGAAACTTCTTGGATGAGAAGCAAAACATCTTCAAAGAAAAACAAAGAAATCCAGCTGCCTCTTGAAAAAGCACTTTTGGAACTTAAACCAACTGGCTTAAACACCAGTTTCACTGAAGACCCCTAGGTGGCGCTGTCTTCTTAAGCCAGGACATGTAGCTAGAACCTAAATTAGGGGTCTACAGTCTTAGTAGCTGTTGGTTTTCCACTGGTGCATTGAAAGTAGGTCTATCAATTGCCTGGTATTTGAGGGTTTTGCTTAATATTCACTGGCATTATTCTGAAGATGTCCCTTAGTCTAGAAGAGAGTGAATGTATACCTTTTCAATGTGAGGCTTGCTTATTTATTTGTAAATTATTGGCTTATTTATTTGTAAATTTATTATTTTGAAAAACACCTCAAGGGGCTGAACATATCCAACACACTTTCCTCCTCCTATATTCCCCACAATGACAACCCTATGAGAGTGGGTTGAGCTGAGAGAGAATGATTAGCTCAAGGTCAGCCAGTCCGCTGTCATGATTAAGGCAGGACTAGAACTCACAGTCTCCTGGTGATTGGCCCAAAATCATCCAATTGGCTTTCATGCTAAGGCAGGACTAGAACTCACAGTTGTCTCCTGGTGATTGGCCCAAAGTCACCCAACCAGCTTTCATGACTAAGGCAGGACTAGAACTCACAATCTCCCACTTTCTAGTCTCATTCCTTAATCACTAGGCCTAACTGGTTCTCTTTCAAACTGGCTCTTTCTCAGACAACAAGAATTTAACACTGTTAAAATTAGATCTGCCTGGTATAATTTCTAATAAAGGCTAGATCAGATGTTGGAAAAGCCCCTGGATAAAAACTGTAAACCACAGAACGGGTTCCACCAATTCTCCCTTATCTGTAAGGACAGAATCCTGCTTGGCTAGGACGCTCCGAATTTACTCTTCAGCATCTGTGGTGGGAGGATGTTTAATTTATTTATTTTTATTTTATTTATTTTGATTTGTCAATCGCTTACAAGATAATAGGTATAAGTATATACGTAGTTATGAATACATGAAATGGGTACATATAAGAAAAATAAAAGAAACAATAGGACAGGGACGGTAGGCACGTTGGTGTGCTTATGCATTTCATTTCATTTGATCTTAATAAATGCCATCTGATGTTTACTACGGCTAGGATAACCCCCATTTATCACAGTTTAAAACAGCTTTGTTCCAGTGCCGTCTCGACACTTCTTTGGAAAGAGATTGTTTGTGACTAGATGCTGTTGGACTGCATCAGCTACCACACCAGTTAGCAATTTGAAATTTGGTGGTAAGCAGGCAACTGTAGTTGCCTCCTGCTTCCCCTTTTGCTGGATCTTTCATTAACAGCTGGTTTTGCCAGAGGTTAGCCATTCTTCA